CGGGCGAAGTCGCGGGGAACAGCTAGTTTTAAATTAAAAATATAAGAGTTGCCGCGTTCTTGAAAAGGCTTTGCAACGGAATATAACAATGGACTTGTTCCCCGGTTTGTTTTAAACAACATTTACTTCGTAAATAAACTTTAGTAAACGTCGGGAATCAAAGTTATGTAAAATAAGTTAAATTAAACGCGTGCACGTTTATTTTATCCACGGTAAATTAGTTTAATCGAATTCACTTTAGAACTAACGTCGTCACAAAATTAAGATTTCATAGAAGAAAAAAAAACAATTAAAATATCATTTTTGGTTTGATTAAATGCCAGAAACATTGCACCGTACCTCCCCAGTGGGAAGCGTATTGGTAAATTTAACAGAGCAAAGTTGGTCCAGTGTAGGAACAAGATGGATGGTCCCGACGCGACGTGTGACTCCCGCGGGTGGGGTGACGACTAAAAATGTGAGTGTGCGCCGAAGAAATTTAGTTAAGAAATAATATAATAATACTAGCAATGATAAATAAAAGTAAATTGTCTCTCTGGTCTCTGTAATATTGATATAATCTATGATATCATCTAATAAGCTCAGCTGGTATATGATAATCTATGTAATACTAAGTAATTTTAATACATGCGTGCGGTGATATTAGATTGTTTTGTTGCATCTGACATGTGACTGATTTATTGAAAGGTTCTCGATTGGCAGCCTCGTACTGGTGAGCGAAGTGTAAGGGCCCCGACTTGATGGGGTGGCGATCTGTTAAACGTGCAGAAAGTCGATGGCCCAGAAATGAGTTTGTGGCATTCTTTGAAGGTGAGTTATGTTCAACAGGCGAAGGGCTGTAATGGTAATGATGAGTTACAGAAACTCAAAGGATAAGAGTTCGCCAAAAAAATTTATTATATGCGAGTGAAAACAAGATTCCCGCTGGTATCAATTAAACTGTTAATCAAAATTTTATGTGCTGATTTATCACAGGCTTGGGAACCATCGTAAGGCAACCGTAACCGTAACGTAAGGTTTTTTACGTGGTAGAGCCATGCTGCAGCTATATCATGGTTATAGCACGAATGGGTCGCCTCGACCGGGGAAGGACCACGCTCTCACAGAATACCAGCGTAAAATAGCAGCTTAACGCTGCAGTGTAGAGAACCGGAGACCCTTTTTACTGAAAACGAGGCATTTCGTCTTAGTCCTCACGGGTGACAACGCATCTGCATTTTGATTCTTTATTGAAAATAGATGTAAATGTCTATGGGCCACAGCAACCACTTACTATCAGGTGGACTGTGTGCTCGTTTGTCACCCTTATCCTATAAAAAAACCTGCATATCTGAGGAATAAAGAAACATTTCGAGAACATGTAGAGTCTGCCAAAACGCATTTGACACATGACTCTTAGGAGGTCTCTACTCGGACTCTTATTTGGTCTCTGCCCACCAACTTTACTTTGCGTTTAAGATAATGTAATAATGGCATTGTATATATTATTTAGAAAACAATGGTCTAGTGGTTGTAGTAGTACGACTGCTGATCAAGAGGTCCCGGTTCGAATCCCGGGTCAGGTACAATAAAAACAGTTTTTCAGTTTTTCCGTCAAAAAATTCTCAGTACCTACCTGAGATTTTACATCAAAAAATTTTCAGTAGCTGCCCGGAGTCAGGAAGTTGGCGGTGTCTCACCCCCGTGCTTCAGAAAGCACGTTAAGCTGTTGGTCCTGCGCCTGATCTCTCTCGAGTCGTGTCGGTTTACCGTCCCATCAATGTATGAGAGTGAGGGAATAGAGAGTGCACCTGTGTTTGCGCATACACTTGGGCAGTATGATACTGTCCTGCGCCGATGGCTAGTCTCCGTTGAGACTGGCCACTGTGACCGAAATTCGGTGTGGAAGACATTATTATTACTACCTACTATTTTTTTCAAATAAAGTCATATACATTGTAACAAGCCTATAAATTTTTCGTCACTTTTCTTACATTCTCAGTCTCACATAGCCACCAACTTCCCACGACCATAGATTACTCTAATTTAACTACGTCTACAATTTTATAACGAGGCAAAGACACCGCGTGAGATAAGGCCAAGTGATAGCGTCGGAAAATATTTGTCTATTGATTCCTTCAAAACAATCAGTTCCTTGTGAGGCTCGGGCCACCGGGGATTTACGTAACTGATAGATAGCCTCGAGCTTTGTGTTTTAAGATAACATTATATTTATTTGAAATATAAGAGATTTTTACGCTTTTAAAACAGAAAAACGCAATTACAAAAGATACAGTATGTAATTCAGTTATGTTTTTTTTTTTAGTTGTTTCTTTTATAATATTTTATTTAGCTTAGTAAATATTTTATTTACTTCCATTCTAGGATTATCTCCCTTTTTGTAGTGGTCTGTCAGACCCAAAAAAATATTTGTAGGCTATACAAACACTTGTTCTGTGTGGAGCTTGAACCCACGACTATATGTTTTGCACCCGAAGTCAGTGCAGGTCGTAAGTTACAATAAGCCTGATCAAATATATTGTTAAAACGTGGTAGAGCCACGCTGCTGCTTTACTCAATATTAAGGTTGCAGCACGTTTTATATAAGCAACCCGCGGAAGATCAGCGTCGAAGTAGGTACTGTGTTAGTACCAAGACTATGGTAAGTAGGGTACCTTTTTAGTAACCATTCGTCAATTTTTTAGTTTACGTGGTAGAGCCATGCTGCAGCTATATTAATAGTACAGTTGTAGCACGAATGGGTCGGCTCGACCGGTGAAGGATCACAGTCTCATAGAATACCAGCGTAAAATAGCAGCTTAATGCTGCTGTGTTTCGTATGGTGAGTGTAGAGAACCGGAGATCCTTTTTACTGGAAAAGAGGCATTCTATCTTAGTTCTTACGGCTGACAACGCATCTGCATTTTAATTCGCAAACGAAGATAGATGTAGATATATATGGGCCACAGCAACCACTTACCATCAGGTCGATTGTGTGCTCGTTTGAAACCCCTTATTCTATAAAAAAATATTATGTTATTATTGTCACAATATGTCTGCTGGCCGGATGAGGAAGCTCAAGGTCGCTCAGAGAGCTATGGAGAGGGCTATGCTCGGAGTTTGTCTGCGTGATAAACTCAGAAATGAGGATATCCGCAGTAGAACCAGAGTGACCGACATAGCCCAACGGATTAGTAAGCTGAAGTGGCAATGGGCCAGCCATATAGCTCAAAGAACCGACAACCGGTGGGGAAGAAAAGTTCTGGAGTGGCAGCCTCGTACGGGCAGGCGAAGTGTCGTCCAACACTAGATTTAGTGACGACCTGGTAAGACATGCAGGAAGTCGATGGATGCAGGTGGCTCAGGACCGTGCTTTGTGGCATTCTTTGGGGGAAGCCTATGTTCAGCAGTGGACTTGTGAAGGGCTGTTATGATGATGATGATTGTCACAAATTGCTATAATGCGTTACTAAGTAAACTTATTTTCTTTCTTTCTTCTTTTTTATGCAAATATAGATTATTATTATAGCATGAATGGGTCGACTCGACGGAGTAGGACCAAGCTTTCACAGAATAACAGCATAAATAGCAGTTTAAGGCTGCTGTATTTTGTATGGTGAAGAAACGAAACGTACTTGATCTAGTCCAGTTCAATCCCCAGAAGACACAAGTTTGCGCGTTTACCGCTAAAAAGAACCCCTTTGTCGTATCTTCTCAGTTTACTGGTTGTTGCCTCAGCCAGTATCGAAATTCTCAGTGTCGACATATCGAGTGATGTTCGTATCGAACAGCTTGGCGTGCTCAGCAGAGCGGAACAGTATTTGATGCCGGCACACCACTTGCAACTTTACAAGGCGCAGGTTCGGCCCCACATGGAATACTGTTCCCATCTCTGGGCCGGGGCTCCCCAGTGCCAGCTTTTTCCAATGAGGAAAAGGAGGAAAGAGGATACACGACTTTTTCTGCCATCTTTTTTTTTCGGCGCTACTAGAAAGTGAGGTATAATATTTGACAGATTTCATAGCGGAGAAGTTAATTTGTTAGGAAAATGTAAAAGATCTTGTTTCTTTCTGTACTTAGCTATATTTTATATTAATAACATTAAAAATAAATAAACCAAACCAAAGATATTCATAAAAGTATAAAAATTAAAAAAAAAAGGTAAAAATGTGCAAAAAATTAAAGAGCAAACCACTGACGCATTGTTTTTTGTATTAATACCTCTAGAAACTGATAAACTTTTATTAAAAACCAACTTCTCAATTAAATTACATTGTGTAATTTTGTTACACAATGTAATTTAATTGAGAAGTTGAGAGAAAACTTTACCTCAGTGTCAACTTCATGATCGGCTTGATTCACTGGCGCTGCGAGGGGATGTTTCTTCCCTTTGCATTTTCTATCACATCTACACCACGGGGAGTGCTCTAAAGAATTGCTCGGATTAATTCCAGCCGCCAAATTTCACGAACGCCCATCGCGGCATAACTCACGCTACCATTTACACCATCTGGTTATTGGCGGTCCATTACTGTGCGTTTTACTAGGAGTTTTCTTCCAGGTACAACTTCTTTCTGGAAAGGTTTACCACCGGCGATTTTTCCGGACCGATACGACTTAGGGACCTTCAAGAAAACCCTTATTCTATAAAAAAATTAAAAGAAGAAAAATCCTGTTTATAAAGACCAATCGACCATTGCGGCCTATGCTCCCAGAAGTTATAAAATAAATCTATCAATCTACTTCCGCGTATTAATGATTTTAAATTTAAAATCAATCACTGTTGTGTCTGTTGTTACAACAGGAACAAATTTGAACAATTTGCATTTTATAACACTACCGACACTATTAACTACTAACCCTAAACGGCACAGCCTTGGGCTGTCACTTCTGACAGGTGTCAAATTTAGCAGTTGTCAAGTTGACAGCGGCGTGATGGAGCGCGGCGTGATTAATTAGCAAATGACTAATTGATTTAACTGCTTGTTTAGTCACGGCTGGTGGCGCGGTAACACGTCACTATGAGTTGTAGGCGAAGGTTAATTTTTTATTGCAATTTGTCGTATGTATAAGAAATTAGGTGGTAGAACTCCCTTTTTTGCTAAAAGTCAGTCTTTGTGTGATGTATTTTAATACCTACATTTAACCCAGGCTACTTTCCGCATTTAATCAAAACGCATGTTCTTTAATCTCTACATAGTATAAAACAAAGTCGCTTCGTGTCGTCTGTACGCTTATATCTTTTAAACTACTCAAGAAATTTTATTGTGCTTTTTATTAGTAGACAGAATGATTTAAGGTAAATGTTTATACGTATAACAAATGCATATTATATGTTATATAATTCTTCTGTCCGTGTGTATGTGACTGAACTCTTTCTAAACGGCTGGACCGGTTTTGATGAAATTATGTGTGTGTCATTAAGTTGATTAGAGAATTGTTTAGATTCACAATTGGACCTGGTAGGTGGGTTTTGTGGTCGAGATCCAGAAATCAACCGTGCAAAGCTGGGGCAGATCTCTAGTTTTATATAAAACGAGCGTACTTACAGCCCACGTGATTGTTAAGAGGCTACTGCAGTCCGTGGACACCTGCATCCAACTTTAAGCAAAGAAGACTACAGAGTGCAGATGGCTGCCACCTCTGAGGACTAAGATGGAATGCCTCACGGTCTGTTATTATACTGATTCTCTATATCTTTTAGGCTCAGTAGGGCTAGAACCCAGAGCCATAAAGCCAGTTTAAAAAAAAATCTATATCCTTCAGACTGGAACACAGCAGCAGCAGTGCAAGCTCTGATATTTGGCGACAGAAATAGATAGGTAAGAGGGTTGTACCTTCCCACACGGACTCCTAGGCAGAAAAATAGTCTTAACCTTTATTGCACACAACGATTAATTTTTAATTAATTAATTTGTGTATTTTTTTTATTAACTAGCTGTCCCCCGCGATTTCATGGGTTTTAATTAGTTTGCACGGAATCTTAATTTTTTTTTCTAAAATAAAGATATCCTAAATTACTCCTCATAACATCAGCTATCTGCCAGTGAAAGTTCCGTCAAAATCGATCGAACCGTTTCGGAGATTTGCCGGAACAAACAGACAGACAGACAAAATTTTAAAAAAATGTTTTTTTTTGTTTATTAGTACCGTATATACTTTCATATGCATTTATTAAAAAGCTGTTTTGTATTTTAACATTACAAACAGACACTTCAATTTTATTTATTTGTATAGATTTAAGGTAGGCTATCATTAAAACACTTTTAATAACACCCAACAATATTTTATTTTGTATACCTGCGCGGTTCTCGGTTCGAATCTTACAGCGCTCTCATATTTTTGTTCCTCCATTCGAATAGTTTTCATATTTCTTGGACAAATTTTGAATAGGGTCACATCGGTACAATCAGGCAATGTAATTTAAGAGACGTACTTTAACCGCGACATATTTATGATGGTACTGGAACGCTTCATCACCGTCATCATTACAGCCCTTCACAAGTCCACTGCTGAACACAGGCCTCCCTCAAGAACTGCCACAACTGCTCCAAAACATCTGACTTGCACGAGGTATATGCCTAAAAATATAATTATCACTATTATTACAGCGTATCAAAGTCCACTTCTGAACATGGCCTGGAGAGGCCTCATGAAGCAAGATTGCCTAATAAGGGGAATACTTGACATAGTTGCCACGCTTGGCAGGCGCCTTGGCAAATGCAGTTTTTTTATTTTCTAGTTGTGATCAGGAAGACACTACTGCCCACCTCTTAGTTTGTTTCCTTCTGTCGCGTCTTACGTCACCCGCGGGACGATATAGAGTATTGGATATTCTTACAACATCATATTTACACGTGTTAGAGCCATGCTGCAGCTATATTACTGGTATAGTTGTAGCACGAATGGGTCGGCTCGACCGGGGAAGGACCACGCTCTCACAGAATACCACGCTAAAATAGCAGCTTAACAGTGCTGTGTTTCGTATGGTGAGTGTAGAGAACCGGAAGCTCATTTTACTGGAAAAGAGGCATTCCATCTTAGTCCTCACGGGTGACAACGCATCTGCATTTTGATTCGCAAACGAGGATAGATGTAGATGTCTATGGGCCACAGCAACCACTTACCACCAAAAGAAAACAACATCACTACATATTAAAATATATATAGGAACCTTTATATTATGCAGCTCTTAGATGCAACTTATAACAACATTTTATCATCAGCTGTGCAATGCGAGATATAAAATGGAGACACGTGATAACGAAACGATGGCTACACGTCCCAGCCACCTCACCACCGGACCGTCGTATCTCGCTCCCACTTAACGTCACCCGTTGCCAACCAACGAGAAAAAATCGACGGGACATTAACGAAAGGCAGGCTTTATCGCAACGAGTGCTCTGACAGCCGATGTCTTCATACCCGTACATCCAACTCGAAAACAATGCCCTATCATTTTCCACGCTATTAAATAAAACTCTGCCATTCGAAAACGAACCTTCACTAATGAAAGTAGGTTGCATTTTACCGTGAATATATAGTGAAAGTTTAAACGATACAAAATTGAGTATAATTAAAGAATTTGAAATTGTATCACCATCAAAATACAGTTTAATTTTCTGAGTTTAAAACAATTGTCTTCAATATCAAAAGGAAATATGTTCGTAATTATTAAGAAACAAAATAAAGCTTTAAACTACTTTGACAAAGTATTAAAATGGAATGCAATGAGCGTTGAAAAGGTTATTAGGTATTCCTGAGTAAGCATATCATAGTGTTGTGACGCATCATTTGATTAATAATGGCGCAAGCGTGTGCCCTGGAGTTTTTTTCGAAATGTTGATATAATAACGTGTTACGCTTTTAAGTCGAGTTTGTTGGGATTTTTTGTCGTGGGCGCACACTAAGTGATATTATTATTATAAGTTATTAAATTGATGCGTGGGTGCGATTGAAATGTTATTCAGATAACTTACTTTAGCTGCAGTAGCTCAAGACCTCAGAAGGTTCAAATTCGATTCCAACCGGCGCCAAATATACAGGTTGTCCGGTAATTAATGGATGACCTTGAAATGGGTCGTGACCGAACATATGGACATTTAGAAAAAAATATTATCCCAAGTAGTATGTACCTAAGATATATATTTTTTTAAATATTGTCAGTTGCAATTTTAAGTACCATTGTACCGCGTGCTCGGCGGTGAAGGAAAATGTATAAAAACTCACATACATACATACTTACATCAAAATAAGTTTGCGATCAGTTTGAAAAATCGAAATCTTTTTTGTTACTGTAAACTACATTATAATTTCTTCTTCTTTTTAGATTCTTTACTTAAAAATATAGAATTAGAATATAAAACAATAAAACGAATTCAATTATTTTTCCATATAAAAAGAAATTCAATCCAAGCTCACGCTCATTCAGAAATCTGACTTAGTCAATGTTAACGGCTTTAAAATATTTTTTTCGGGGAAAGTTGTGATTGAAAAACTGCCAAGAGGATTATCAGAAGTTTAACGAGCAAAAATTGTAACTTTGAAGGAAGAAGGATATTCCATGAGAGAAATAGCACGCAGAGTTGCTGTATCCCAATCCTGTGTCGTGGCCACGTTACAGAGGTACCACGACATGGATTTCTCTTACCGACCCCGCAATGGACGCCCAACTGTTCTAACTGCTGGTCAGATTATCAGATCTGTTATGCTATATCAGATGGCAGCCCGTGTCCCAACAATCAACGCCACTACAATCAAAGCAGAAGTGTAGGTCGCTACTGGACTAGAAATTAGCACTCAGACCATTGGGAACTGCTTACACTAGGCTGAAGTACGAGCACGGAGGTCTTGGCGAGCACCTCTGAATTCACGTCAACGTCAGCGACGGAGATTGCAGTGGGCTAGGCTCCGGAAAAATGGAGAAGGTGAGGAGGAAAACATTTGGCAAAACTGTCTGTTCGTTGACAAATCGCGAATCAATACTCATCCAGGAGACTCTGATAAGTAAAGAAATGCCACTGGAACCGTTCAGAGATTTCAAATTAAAGTTTAAACCTGGACGTAAATAACAATTCAGTAGCCAAGTAAGTAAAATTATTTGTTGTTCAAGTGAATAAATAGGTAATAATATCGTAATATTACAAAAGAAAAATTCATGAAAAAATATATTTCTTTATATAAACTGACCGCGCAGGCGCAACGCACTTATATCAACTGCGCATGCGCGACTTTACTATCTCCCGCGTATGAGCGAAGACATGGAGTAGTGCCATTTTTTGTTTAGAAAGGCTTCTCTAGTAGTAGTAGTAGTAGTAGTAGTAGTAGTAGTTCATACATATAACTCAATTGGTTTGTGATTGTGTGATCCCATTAATTGCCTTTTACAATATTCTAAGCTAAAAATAAAAAGGCTAAAAATAATGGGACCTTTAAGTCTCAGACCAACATGGGTTGAAAAAAAAACATGCGTGTCTAAGAAAAAAATTCAAGCACTTGAGTAATCTGAATAGATCATGCCGCTCTCACATACCTAACATACTCAATGTAAACCAAATTCGATCCCCACCGGCGAAAATGAAATTGTTATTTTAAGTGTCAACTTACCATGTGTTTGACGTAAAAGGGAAACATCGTGGAAAATTTGCAATTCTAAGAAATTAAAAAGAAATCAAGGTCTCATGAAGTCCTCCAGAAACCCTCTCCGATATGAGAGTAGGTCTGTACCCAATAGTGGGACGTAAGTGTTTTTTTACTTTAATCATCATATCTCCTGGTGATAATTAGATGACATAAAGATCATAATATTCTCTTTTTAATTCTCTTTTTTTTAAAAAAAACTCCATACTAGGATTTTTTCATGTATCGTGGGTTCGTCGTCGGTTTACAAACATAAATTACACAAGGACAAACATTTAGACCCAGAACAATTATTTGTAGGCCATACAAATACTTGTTCCGTGCGGGAGTCGAACCCACGACTCTTACCGCTGCAACTCAATTGCAATGGGCCACGGAGCCGTCACTATAAAACTTTATTATTCTTTTGATCGGTTATCTATCACGATGACTAACTCCAGAACAATGATTCCAATTAACGCGAATACTACACATTGAAAAAACTGATTTTGGATCTTATCGCGTTTAATTAAATTTTTTAAGATAGATTTCTTTTAGGGAGTTAGGGAAAAACGATGAAAATGAATTTTTACGATGCGCGTGCACACCGACACCTAAAAACGACACCATGAAGTTGTTATGATGCGCGCTTACACGGACAACTAAAATCGACACCATGAAGTTGTTAAGATGCGCGCGCATACTGACACCTAAAAGCGACAACTCCAGTGGGTCATTGTCTCTCAAGTTTTTTTGTTTTGTTACGCTAACAAAGTATTACTTCCTACGTGCGTACATTACACACACACACTTATTTGTTTTACTTCTGAGATATCGGGCTCTTTATAGCAGCCATGGCCACGTGAGTGAATGAGTTGTTTGACGTCATGACATCATAGATATAGTTAACATAATAGTTATGATGGTTATGCTCAAAATAGCAGGATGTATATTGCTACAACTATAGTCCTCAAAAATAATCAACTTTTAAATATTAACTTTTGGCCGATCTACGTAGAACGAACTTACGATAGCCTGAAGTTGTGTCAGGGAATTTATTACGATTGGATTTCATGGGTTTGAATTTTTTTGCGCGGAACCCTGATTCTTTTTCTAAAATAAAAGTAGTTAGCTTAAGTTACTCCTAATAACATCAGCATCAGCATCTACCAGTGAAAGTCCCGTCAAAATTGGTCCAGCCATTTCGGAGATTAGCCGGACCAAACAGACAGACAGATGGAAATTTCATAAATTATTTTATTGTAACAACTACCGTATACACTTTCATATGCATTTAGTAAAAAGCTTGTTATTGATATTACAAACATACACTTCAATATTATTGCATGCCTTAAGCGAAAGCGCAAGGTATGTTCTACTATCGCCTAAAAATTAAGATTCCAACGTTTTATCGAATAAAACCGTATCTAGCAATCATATTATACGTATAAATGATATAAAAAGCACATTGTTAGAAAGAAATGATTGTTGAAGTTATTGATATATTTTTTAAATCGATTAATTGCTATTTTTAAATAAAGAAAGGGGTTTTAGTGGCTTATCGTGTGGATTTATCATGTCCCTGTGGCTTGTAAACACGATAACTTTTGAAAATATCAATTGTTTAACTCAATCTATTTTTTAATCTCTTCATCTATCATGTGGGAAGCCACTGAATGTAAATGGCAGTGTAATTTTGTTTTGTTTAGGTATAATTAATTTTTTTCGGCTCCAAAATGGCGAAATTTTCGTTGATTTGGTAGCCTTGTATGTAAATTATTTCTGTAAATGGGGAGCTACAGCCACAGAGTAGTTTACTCACTCACTCAGTCCGGCGTCATTCGCCGTCGTGAGTGGACATTGTTTCGGTTGTTTGCAGCGGCTCAAAAAGATCGCTGTACAAATACACAATATTTAAATAACCAAATTTCTTAAATACTTGATTATAATAATAATAAGAGATTTTATTAATTGCAATATTTTAAAAGCACAGAATAAATAATAGTAGTACGTACTAAAAGTAAGTAGTATCATTTTCATGGTTTTCGAGGGTGTTGAAGCCGATAGTTCTGTCGAAATGTAAATCCAGGATGGCGGCAAATTAGGTACCAATTTTTGCATCATGGGTGTCATTTTCATGGTTTTCGAGGGTGTTGAAGCCGATAGTGCTGTCGAAATGTAAATCCAAAATGGCGGCTGCAATAGGTATCAATTTTTTTTACATGGGTGTCATTTTCATGGTTTTCGAGGGTGTTGAAGCCGATAGTGCTGTCGAAATGTATTTAAATTACTTTAAAAATTCCGTATAATCATGTTATATATAATTTTTTAATGCGCTTAAGTCTTGCCCAATTGGATTTACCAATTTTATTTTTATTTGTATATAGATTTAAATGGGTTCTCAAGCAGACGGTAACACCCAGCCATCTTCTTTATTGAAATTAGGATGGTTTTATTTTTATTTTAATAGCCTCGCGTATCATCTTTGATAGCAATATATTTTCTTTTACTAGGATTTAAGGTTTATCGAATCTGATCCAACGACCGACTAACGATCTTAAACATGTTCATAGACTGAAGACTTCTCTGTGTGAATATACATTATAATTTGAAGCAATGTGAGGGTAGGAAATATTGTACTTAGATATGAATGAAATAGCCGTGTAGTGGCGGTGTAAGAATATCCACTACCCCATATCATCCCGTGAGTATTGTAAGAGCTTACAGGTGTAAACTGAAATACAAGGATATTGTAAGCTTTTTCTGCGTTGGTCATACCAAAAATTAAT